ACTGGTGGCCCTGGGGCCGCGAACCTTTCAGAAGTCGAAGTAGAGGCGCCATCACAGCACCTTTGCCCAGATGTTCGCACCCTTCAGCACCAGCAATCTCGGCCCACTGCCAGGCCTCAATCCCGCGGACCAGGAGTTTCCTGAGGTACCAGACCGAGACGTCCCGAATATCCACAGAAACTCCATTGTGCGTAACCCAGGTGAGCGCATCATGGTCCGAGAACTTCCAGGAGATCCGATCGAGGGACAGCTTGACGGCCCCGAAGGGCCCCTGGACCCGGGACCACATCTGAACCTTCTTGGCCGCCAGGAGCCCGTCCGACACGACCTTCACGGGGATCCAAGCTTCCCACAGAGCACGCGCGAGAGCAAGGACTGGGAGCAGTGTGGCCCGAAAAATCGGATCGAGCTCCTTGCCCAGCATGAGCGCCATCGTCCTGGACTTACCTGCGCCATGCCTCTCGATCGCCGAAAACATGAGACTTCGAATCGAATCCAGCTCCGTAGCCGAGGTACCTGTCACCGAAGCCCCATAGGACTGCACGCGCCACAAGCTGAGCCGCCACTCTCTTACGGGGTCCACAGCAAAACCTCAGAATACGACGTATTTTCGACCGCGCCGAACGAAGTCGTTTATGTCTGACCCGTCGAAGCACACGACGCCCACAGGTGAAATCAACTCCGAGGTTTCTTTCATGTCTGGGCGCCTGGGCTCCGATGCGAGCAAGTTGCCGAGCAATATCCGAACGCACCTCGCTGCTGCTTGACATCACACGCGTCTTGTCATCATGTAGCTGTAGTTGACACACATCCAGTTCACGTTGTAGCGCCTCGGACGCCTGAACTATTTCTCGAGTGACGACCTTACTCGACCCAATTCTATGTATAATGATAGCATCAACCACCACACACGGAGCCACCGACCGTCCTAATAACCATACTCGATCGAGAGGTTGGCGTAGGGCAAGCTTGAGGAAAGTGGTGGCCCATCCGTCGCCAGACAAGATGGTCTGATCGACCTGCAGCTCGTCCGAGACCACGGTGCCGAGGGTGAGGAACCTCGGCGCTCTGAACAATAGAACCTGGAGCCGCAACTGCCAGCGGGGGAATCCTGTTCTCAACGCCGCCTCCAGGAGCCAATGGCGCTGAACCTGTTCGAATGCTTTCAGGAGGTCCATCATCACCTGGGCCGACGTCCATAGGCCCGCCTGGGCCCCTTTGCCTTTCACCCTGGTCCATTCGGACCACGCCGACTGTTGCCACGCGGCCCGCTCACACGACTTCCCAGGGGCAGCCCAGAAATAATGCCGAGCATTCTTCACCTCCCACTCTTTCGCGATGGGCATTCTCAATCTGGCTTGGACCCTGGCGACGACATGGAGCAGCGCGATGGGGCGGACCCCGCCCAATCGCTTGGCCAAAAACGCAATCTTCGTAACCAGCATCGGCCACTCGGCCGCGGCCTCGATGGCCGTGATCAGGTCGATCAAACCGACCGCGGAGTCGCACAACTCGCGTAGCTGCCTCGGCCTGACGGCGCAGAACCCCATTCCAGACATGGCCTTGAAGGACCTCAGGACCCTGCGCATGTAGTCGAGCGTCGGCCGAGGGGGCCTCTCCCCAAGATCCCCAGGCCAGCTAAATATGGGATGCTTCTCCCCCAGCTTCCACCAGCGACTCCAAGTTTTCTGCAACTTGTCAACCTCTTGCTGCTTATTGAGGGGCTTGGTGGGGTCCTCAGGGTCCACGGAGCTACTCTGCCAGCCTTGGGGGTCCTTACAAAGCGCGTGGAGCCCACCGGCACCTCCCGCAGACTGCTCCGAGACCCACCTCCTGAATTTATCAGCACGCCGTTGCAAATCACGTCGGGCCACGCGTGAGGCACCTCTCTTGATCTCCTGACTCATGACGTAGACCACCTTCGGGTCCAGGTCCCAGACGGGGAGGAAGGTAACCAGGGCCCACCAGAGGTGCCAATGGAAGGGCCGCCCAGTCGAACACATCCAGGAACATCCCGAACCAGTTTGCCCACCGCTCGAAGCGCATTGACCCGTGTAATTGGTTGTCCCACCTGAGAGGCAAACGACATCGATGCACCCTACTTCCGCAACCAGATGGCCTCGGGGGACACCTTCGGGTACTTCGGCGGCAGGGGGGGCTGAGAGCGAACCCACTTAGGACGAGGAAGCTGCGCTCTGCCGAGATGTTTCGAGCGGTCTTCTGCAACTTGGTATACGTCACGCCACTCGTGCTCCGCTGCACTGATGAACATCTCCCATCCCTTGGATAATTCCCCAGCTCCTCCTGATCCCGTAGGCATGCTCTGACGAACCTGCTCCCACAGATCGTTGAAGTCGGCCGAGGCACACCCTGACGGGTGAACTGCTGGAAACGGTCGTGGCACCGGCATGACACGCATCCACGGCTGGCTCAAACCCGACTTCAAATCCAAGGAGACAGCCGTGTGGGGACTCATCGGGATTGAAGGCTCCGTCTGCACTTGGGTCGGTACCAGGTGGCTGGAGACGAGGAAGAAATCAATCACACGACAAGCTGGTGCACATGTGCCCACCTGTGGGGCCCACACCGAAAACGGCAGAAAATCAAAGATATCAGCCTTTTGCAACTCCTGCGGGGTGGCATTGAAGTCGCCTCCGATGATGAACGGCTTGCCTATACATCGCACACGCTCGGCGATGTCCAGCAGAAGACTAACATTGTCAGGCGACATACCCTGCCCCGCATGCAAGGAGACATTCACCACGACAATGCCCTGCTTCGCAAAGCCAGAATGACATGATATTGATGCTCTTCCTGGTGCAATATGGCCGTTCTACCATCTTCCACGAGCCCAAGGCCATGTCGAGCAGGTACAAGCGTGAGCAGCCCGCCAGATCCAGGTAGACCATGCTCACACCCGACTGCAGGGAGAGCGAACGCATGCCATCCAGCTTTGACTAACTTACCGACTGCGTCGTCGCCCTGGCGCTGCCCCAAGTGGGTTTCTTGCACAAAGATCAAATCTGCCTGTCTAACCAAATCCATCTCCAACAGCGGTTCGAGACTGGAGTAAGCATTCACGTTCACCGTCAGCACCTTCCACTTGAACTCACGCTGGAAGCCGTCCACCGACACTGGGCCTGTCGTTCCCGAAGGAGGCTGAGCATCAGTCGACGACCTCCCCTGGGAGGCGCGGGGGCTGGCCGTCGCTCCCCCCTCCCCCGCCTGGCCGCTGCAGCCTGGCGGTTTGAATCCATCACGAAGCGGAATCCCGTGTACATCGTCGCCTGAGCCTGGGGCAATGTCAGCAGGCGGCTGCCCCCAACGCCCTGACCCAGAAAGACGCGGTCCAACAAAGCTTGCCTTCCCTCGAGTGCGACAGCCCCGCGTGAACGCAGCGCCCGATGGGATGGTGCAGTCAGGGCGGATAGAACCTGAAGGCCCCTAGTGGTTCAAGCTGGATTGTCGGAAAGACCGAGGATATTCTCCAGCAAAGAGGGAAGATGACAAACTACCCCCTCTGAGCAAGGGCTAACCTACTCATGCTTCGCATAGTCACCCACTGTGCCACAAGGCGGGCCTGAGGACAAAGACGAGGCCAGCGGGCCCAAACAACCCTTGCAACACTAGACTTACCTCTCATCCCGATACATCGCTCAAGCTCTGTGCGGGGGAGGCGGTGTCCCTCGAAACCCATAGAGATAGGGTCCGGGACCTCAGAATGAAGGAAACTCAAGTAATCTTCCTCTCTTCTGAGCAGGGGCTAACGTACTCATGCTTCGCATATCCTTTTTGGGTTTCTCTTGGGACCCGCTCGGGTCCTCCCATTGCTGGGTGGGGAATGCCCATACCTGTCCATTGACAGGGATGGACATTTTAGCTTTAGGTTATTTGGCACCGTCAGTGCCGTAGGTGAAGAAAGGGGATGCCCATGCCTGTCCATCGACAAGGATGGGTAGCCTAGCTTTCGGCCCTGGGGTGGAGACCAACACCTGTCCATCGACAGCGGTCGGCATCCAGATCCTATTTGATACCGCCATTGCCAAAGGCTGCAGTTGTCGCTATGTTAGCATGGCCTTTTTCGCGGCCATTGCGCGAGCCATGACCTTCCCACGGCGACCCTGCCTTCGAGGGGCCAAGCCCGCACCAGTGCACGCTGTGCACGCGGCCGGGGTCAGAACCCTCGCCGCTGAACCATACTAACACAAGTGTCCGGTGGCCTTGTTTACGGGTCCCCTAATGCCGAATGGGCCCGCGCCCAAGCAGTAAACACCCCCGCCGGAGCCCTTGACCCCCGCCGATGTGCTAACGCCTGAACTCGTGGCTGCAGCCGGGCCCGTGCAACTCCGCGAGACCCGAGTTTGAGCTCTTGCCGCGGCCGAAGCACGCGGCACCACTCAATCGGGCTTCGCACCATGCACGACCAGGGCCCATGACCCCACCGCTATGCCTGTCCCTCCCCCAGTCTGCTGCGGTCGGCGGCCATGGAGTGCGCCCTCGCCTGTGACCAAACAAAAGCCTGAGTGGCTGTTAGGAGAAGGGAGGGGTTGGAAGGCTCCTCAGCTCCTGGAGATGGGGTCGAGAGCCATGACAGACAGTGCGCAGGCACCGTCTTGCGACCCACGCCCAGCCGAGCACCGCTGGGATTTGCACAGCCGTCAAACACCACCCCTCTGTCAGGTCTTGGCACCGAGGCCAAAACCTCGCTCTGTCAGAACGCGGCATGTGAGACTCCTCTGCCTCCTCCTCCTCCTCCTCCTCCTCCTCCTCCTCCTCCACGTCCATGGGGGGGGGATGGGGAGGAGGGAGGGATTGGAACCATGGGGGGGTGGGATTGGAGAGGAAGGAGAAGGTTTGTTGAGGCTGGGGATGATGCCGCCGAAGCGGTTTTCGGCCCTCTGAGGGCTTGAGAGGGAACCAAGGAGAAGGAGGAGGAGGAGGAGGAGGACGAGGAGCAGAGACGGCGACGACCGATGACCGACAGACCCCCGACAGCGCAGGTCAGCTCCCCCGGGCGGCGCGACGCGCCCTTCGGCCAGTGGCCCTCGTCCAACGGCCGCGCGCAACGCGCCCGCCCTCTCGGCACCGGCGGCCCTCCCTCGTCATCCTCGCGGTCGCCGCCGTCCAGGATGGAAGACTCCAGCTATCAAGATGGAGGACTTTCGTCCTCGTCCTCCTCCTCCTCCTCCTTCTCCTCCACCTGCTTCTCCTTCTCTTCGTGCTCTCCCTCCTCCTCCTCCCGCTCCTCCTCCTCCTCCACCTCCTCCTCCTCTTCTTAGTTGATGCCCCGGTCCGATTTTGTCCTGGCCCTGGCTTCGTTTCGGAGGCGCGCGCCCCTGGCTTCGCGGTTGGCGGCAGGTCGAGGCTCCTAAACGTTTGGCAGCGTCTTTTAGTGCCCAGCCTCCGGGGCACCCGCGGGGGCCCCCTGCTCTGGACGGGGCAAAGTTCGCCCCCCCTTAGCTCCGCTGGGGGGGGGTTGGGCACGTGCTGTCGGAATGGGTGGAGGGGTTGGAGGAAGAGGAGAAGGAGGAGGAGGAGGAGGAAGAGCAGGAGGAGGAGGAGGAGGGGGAGGAGGAGGGGGAGGAGGGGGAGGAGGGGGAGGAGGAGGAGGAGGAGGAGGAGGAGGATGGAGAGGGGCGAGATTCGGGCAGTCAGAAGGTGAATCACCCCCCCCTTGATAGATAACCCATTCACAGTAGTGTGACAGCCGTCTTCCATTCGGAGGATGATCGAATCTCCACCCTGCCAAGTCGACCAGCGAATCGTCCCGCTCCGGTTCCCGAGGGGGCGCTGCGGCCACATTCTTTGCAGGACTGCGCCCGCCAGGTCTGGTCCGGAGTCGTGTTCTCCAGACGGGTGGTTTGGTCAAGGGAGCTCTGTTTGCGACCCATATAACCGAAGTTTATCCGACGATGGCATCTATACACCACCCCCGTGCCAGGCCAGGGCCATCCTGGGCCCTGGGATGGTGCATAGACCCTCCTGGCCTCTGCCAGGGGGCTTATACATTATGCCAGGGCCAGGATGGCCCTGGCTTGACACGGTGGTGGTGTATAGATGCCTCATGCGTAAGGTGTTGCCGATTCTCAATAATCCCCAGTAGTTCCAGGAGAGCTTACCATGTGATGGGCGTCTCCCTCCGAGCCCGTGGGGCCGCAGCACGTGGAGCGAGCCTCCCACGGGGCGCACAGCCCTGTGACAGCTTGCGTTGCGTCAATCTTCCTGTGCCGAAGCGGGCTGCGCGTTGAATCCGCAGCGCGCGTCGCTTCCTTCCTACTGCTTGCCTTCCCATTCCCCTCCTCCTCCCCCAGCCATTCAACTATTCAACTTCAACTATTTGGCCAAGTACTTCGTTCTAGGGCAGACCCCATCCTCTACGAGCATGCTCAGTCGCACCTGGTGCCCTTGTGCCGCTCACGAGCAAAGAGGTCCCGCGTATGGGAGGGAGCTCGTGCCCGAAATGTTGGAGCATCGTGGTCGCATTTTTGGACGCATTGTGAAAGGCGTTGACGTTGCATCTTCGCCTGTGGCGTGGGGCCACGCGTTGAAGAGGGCCTTGCTGTCCTGTCCACGCACCGCCCGGTGTACGACTAGCCAGCCAGTCCCCCAGCTTTTTCACTCCGCGTGTCCATGTCGTCACACTCCTCAATCGTTTCGTGCCCCCGTCAGTAACTCAACCTGCGGTCTCAATGCGCGCCGATGCATGGCGCCACCGCCCCCATTTCGGCCCACCCCTCACGAAAAGCGCGGCACCAGAAGGGGCTCCACCTGCGGTATCAGTGGTCGCCGACGCATGGAGACACCGCACAATAGTTGGCACACCCCGCACAAGGATCGCGGCCCAGCCCAGTAGGGTGCTCCCCCTACTGTCCCAGTGGGCGCCTACGCAAGGCGCCACCGCGCCCATGTCGGCACACCCCTCACGAAGAGCGTGGCATCAGAGGGGGATCCACCACCGGTCCCAGTGAGCGCTGACGCATGGCATCACCCAGCCTATTTAGGCACCCCCCGCACGAAAACCGTGGCCCTGCAGGGAGCCCCCCCTGCGATCTCTGTGGGCTCCGACGAATGACGGCACCGCACCCATTTCGGCACACCTTTCACGAGGACTGTGACCCTACGGGGAATTTTACCATGTGTATCAGCGGGCGCAGACGCATGGAAGCACTTCGCCAAGTTTGGCACACACCGCACGAGAACCGTGGCCCCATATTGAGTTCCACCCACGATCTCAGTGGGCGCCGACGCATGTCGGCAATGCGCCCAGTTCGGCACACCCCTGACTGGGATCCTGGCCCCATAGAGAGCTCCACATAGGGTCCCAGTGTGCTCAGACGCTCGGCGCCACCGCGCACATTTCGGCGCACCCTTCACGAGGACCGTGGCCCCCATGGGGAGTTCCACCGACGGCCTCAGCGGGCGCAGACGCATGGCCGCAGCGCGACCTTTTAGGCACGTCCCGCAAGAGAACCATGGCCCCATAGGGAGCTCCATCTACGGTCTCAGAGGGCGCCTGCGCATGGCGGTACCGCGGCCCTTTCGGCACACCAGGATCGTGGCATATGGAGTTCCACCTACTGTGTCAGCGGGTGCAGATGCATGGAGACACCGCGCAATAGTTGGCACCCCCCTCGCGAAAACCGCGGCCCCATTGGGAGCTCCACGCCCCCGTCGCGAGCTCCACGCGTGGCTCTAGTGTGCCAGTTCGCACGGCGGCGCCGCCCCGTCAGGACCGTGGCCCCATAGGGAGTTTCACCTACGGTCCCAGTGGGAGGGTCCGCACGGCGGCACCGCGCCCATCTCGGCACACCCGTCACGAGGGCCGTGGCGCCATTGGGGGCTCCACCTCGGGCGTCAGTGGGAGTCAATGGATGCGGCCCCGAACCCCGTTGACGCCCCCCTCATTCATCGGTCACCACAGCGCCAGGTCCGCCACCCCCAACATGTGATAGGTACCTTTCTGAGTTATTCGGGGCCCAGCGGGCCGTCACATGTGGCGCCTCTCTAGCCCAGGACCTTCGGGGCGACAGCATACGCGATCGCGCTCCCAGCCTGGAGGGCCGTGGCATGTGAGAGCTGCATTGGACGGCCCAATGCCCAGAGGACCATACGGTCAGGAGCATGTGCTTAGCGTGTCGCCGCGGCGGCCCCGGCGACACCCCCCTCGCGTTGCGAAAAAAACGCGACGGGAAGATTTTCTCTGTTTTCGGCTTCTGGGGGCCCTTCCTAGGCCTCAGGACCGTCAAGAAACCATTCGGCATGAAACACACGTCCCTGGCAAGGGGTCCAGACCTCTAGGGTTCGACGTTGCGACAAATTATGACGTCGGGGGTCTGGGCACGCTATGCCTTGCGAGCGGATAGCGTGTCGCTCTGCAGGGACGCCTGTGGACCCGGAAGTGGATGGCGTGTCGCGCTAAAGCGTGGTGGGCCAGAATTGGCGGCGCGATACGCTATCCCAGAGTTCCCGACCGTAATGTATGAAAGGTTTCCTCTCCGGGCCCCAGCAGTGCGCCTGAGATATTTCTTGGGAGTCTCTCGAGGGCCGTCTTTGGCCGATCAGGATCCTTGTAGGGGCTTCTCGGATGTCCCGTGAGGCCCGTCGTGGGACTTTGGGGTTGTATGTGGAAGTTGTCTGGCCATTTGGAAGTATCTGGGCCGTGAATCAAGAACGGTGCTGTGGCCGTCTTGGGTCAGCCTCGGGCAAGTCCTGAGCCGCTTGGGGAGCTCATGGGGGGTCCTTGGGCCATCCAGGTCCGCTTTGGTCTGGCCTTGGGCGGCTTTTGTGCGCCTTGGGGACTCCTCGGAGCCGCTTGGTGGGAGTCTCGGAGGCATCTTGGTGATGGTTGCAGCCTCTTGTGGTGAAAAGGGGCGTGAGGGGAAATCTTCCCTACCACCCCACCTGGTCCTTTCTTCCGGCTTTTGTCTCTCTCCTTCCCTCTCTGATTATCTTTCTTTCTCTCCTGTTCTCTGGCTCTCCTTCTCTCTCTCTCTCTCGTTCTTCCACTCTCTGTTACTTTGCGGGTCGCTGCTCATCATGCGCACCACCGAGTGCCGTTGTTTCCGTGGAAAGGCTCCCCCTGCGTCCTGCACCTGAGCGGCGAGCAGGACCGGGCGGAGGAACCGCAGGTGCCGGCGCCGGCAACTGCAGAGGAGCTGCTGGAGGAGGGTTCGATACGATCGAAACGGGTACGGAAAGATTGGGTGCGAAGACCGACGGCAGCTTGTGAATATCTGGCACAACTTTGTGGTTAGGTTTAGCTTTTAGTTTCCTTGACCCGGGCCCAGGGGATTGGGCCCTCTCTGCTCCTTGTACGCCTTACTGGCTCAAGTCCAAAACCATATGCTGCTGCTCCTGCTGCCACAGTTGGTAGCGGAGCCGTGTGAGCTCCAGGGCCAAGGGTGCCCGCCCGTCGCGCATGGCGCGCGCCGGCGGCTGCGCTCAAGGGCTCTAGGAGGACGCACGGCTTCCATCAGCCGACGTGCGTGGGAACCACGGCTTGCCCGCCGACGAGGAAGGCGGGGAGCCCCAGAGGACCGAGACTTTCGCGACGCTCGCCAGCTCCCAGGAGACGCAGGAGGGCGCCGCGAGCCAGAACCAAAACCATAACCAGAGCACTGGCTCCAGCGTGGTGCGGCTGGAGGATGTTCGGGACATGGTTGCCAGCATGATCAGGGAGGCTGGCCAGCTTGCTCCCGCGGCGTCCCCACCCGCGCCGCCCGCGGTTGCTGAGACGGCCGCCCGCATTCCGCGGCCTGGGCGAGTGGGCGAACGGCAACGATTCCTGGGCGAGAGGTCGTGCTCCGGTTGGGACTGGACGCCAGCGCGGCCAGCCCTCCGACGATCGCCCGGCGGCCCGGGCTTCGTGGGACGCAGCAGCTGCAGACGGGAGATGGAACGACCAGTCCAACGGCCAGGACTGGAGCGAGGACAAGCAGCGCTGGCACGACGACGACAAGCAACACCTTCGCTCGAACGATGGAGATAGGTCGTGGTGGTCGTCGGGCGGGTACACGAAAGGAGACTACAGCGACCCACCAGCCTGGCCCGGCTGGCAACACTACCGTACTTGGAAGAAGGCGATGCAACGATGGGACCCACAGATGTGCCGACCTACAAGCGGCACGAGAAGTTCATCAAGCTGTTCACGTGGATGATGCAGACGCCCGTCGAGGACATCCCCGAGATCGACCTGGAGAGTAAGTCCTGGTTCAGCCACCTGCTCACCCGCCTCGACCGGATGGCCAGTGAGCGAGAGGGTGACGAGATCAGGCGTATCGGTCGCCGTGCACTGTTCGAGTGCCAGCGAGAGGTCAAGGAGACGCTGCAGGCCTTCGTCGATCGCCGAGAGAGACACTTCCGGGAGGCCGAAGGCGACGACCTCTGGATCTCGGACAAGCTCAAGGGCTTCATGATGGAGGAAGGAGCCTCAATATCACCGCAGGGGACGCAGAACATGAGGACCCCCACCCGCGGCGATCTGGAGTACATGAGTGCGTGTTGGGCCATCCGACAGCTGGACTTCTCCACGTCTGAGCGTCTGCTGCCGGGCCGTAGCGCTGGCAATTTCGCCGACGGGCCAGAAGCGACTGGCGGCGCCCCAGATCCCTCCTCCTCTGCCTTCCCCCACTCCACGCAGGAACAAGGCTGGGCCGAGGACGACGGTGCCGGACTCGAGAACGACGATGAGCAGTCCGACGACGACTCCGATGACACCGAAGATATGTCACAGGACGAGAACAACGCCGTGCTGCTGGAGTTGCAAGAGATGGATCTCGACGAGGACGGTGTCGAGAGCTACTTGGCCGGCCAGAAGAAGCGGACGCGGGGGGATTGCGAAGATTTCAAGCGGGCGGCTAAGAAGGATACCAGAGTCTTACCGCGGCTCGGGCAGGGACAGGCCTTCCGGCTCCAGCGGCCACCGGCCGCCGCCACCGCCCCGGGGTCGTTTCCCCGAGGCAGGAGCCGCAGGCTCGGCGGCCTTCCCCTCGAAGAGTCACCAAGGTCACCAGGGGCAAGAATTGCGGCGAGAAGGGCCACTGGAAGGGCGAGTGCCCGAAGCCGAAGGAGGACGACCCGACCAGGACAGCAGGCGAGCAGCTGGCGTCCTGCGCGTTCTCGGGCTGCGCGGCGCCACCCGCTGACGACGCCTTGGCATCGCTTCGAGAACTCCGGGGCCAGATCTTCGAGATCTACCTGGCCGCTCGGCCGACGCGAGGGCTGGTGGGCCCACGCGCCGGCGGCGTTTTAGTAGGACTGGCTACCCTCAACCGCGAGGCGCTGGCGCTCGGCGGCCTCGGGATGACATGCGCGGCGGCGCCTCCAGGAGAGGGGTCGCCGAGCCGACCCGCCCGCGGAGTCGGCGGCCAGGCCAAGATCGCGGGGTGGATCCTGCCCCCATTGCCTCTGGGAGGCGCCCTCGGGCTCGTGGAGACCGCAGTGCTTCTCGAGGGCGTGCCGCGCATCATCAGCGTGAACCTCTTGGATTTCCTGGGATGCGTCATCGACCTGCCGCAGAATCGCACGAAGGCCGGCAGGCTCGACGCTCGGGCGCCGCTTCACATGCTGTCGTCAGGACACAGGGTGGTGGACGTCGTGCGCCGTTGCCCCAGCCTGCGCGCGTCTCGCCGCATGCCCTCCTGAAGTTCCTTTCTCTGCGGCCAGACTCTTTCTGCCTTGCCGTGGGCGGGCGCCCTCTCGAGATGGCCGAGGGCGGCTCGGTGTGCGCTGCGGCTAAGTAACTGCATGCCCCGACTTTTCCTTTTCCTCTTCCCCATGCTCAACCTCGGGGCCGCCATAGGGGGCAGCCCCAGGAGGAACCAGAGCGGGGTCTACTATGCCGTAGAGGACCCTGTCGGGATCCTAGGGGCCATGCACACGATTAGCGAGGCCCTCTTCTGCATCATGAGTCGGGCCCAGGGCAGCGAGGACACCCTCAGGGACCAGGAATGCGAGGCCGCGGGCGCCAGGGGCTGCCAGCCGGTCGCGTTGCGGTCGCGAGCTCAGAGGCCCCCTGGATCGGATAGGTATCATCATGTTTCGTGCAGAGCGATCCCCGATCCACTAAGGTTCAGGACCGACATCGGCGGGGGGCCGAAACTGACAGGACAGCCGCGGATAGCCTCGGACTCTGTAGCCATCTCGGCCCAAGCAGTATCAGTTGGCTACAGCTCGCCGACTCAGCCACGCCCCCCCAGGACGCTCCATCAGCCAGTGCTACCGATGTGGGTCCGTGGCGCAGCGTGCCTGGCGACGCTCGTCTCGACGGTTCTCAGCGTGGCCGACGAGACCCCGCCGCCCCAGCCACTGGGTCGGGAGTCTGGCCCGCACCCTTGGACGAGGAGACGCCGGCGCTGACGCCGGGGAGCGTCGCCCACGACCCGCAGATTGCGGCGGCGGCAGCGCCGGGCCAGGGGCAGCAGGCCGCTCCAGCAGTCGACCCGGCGCAGTCAGCAGCTCCACGCGCGGGAGGTCGCGCCAGCGGCCCCCGCCCTCCATACAAGCCACCTCCAGGGCTGCGGACGTCAGGCAGCCGCGGTCGCCGGCCCGGCGCGGCCAACGCCGTGGAGGCGATCGCGGCTGTGCGTCAACGCCAGGTGGGCATGCCAGCACCGCCGGTCAAGCCGCCACCGCCGACTCTCAAGGCACTGCAGACGGCTAGGCCAGCGGGGGCGCCGCCCGAGGCGATCGTCGCCTACATGCAGGACGGAGCTCCAGTTGTCAACCAGGCCTGCATGGGCGCCCTGGCTCACGGGGCGACGCGACGCGGACTAGTACCAGCAAATTCAGGACCTCCGAAGCCTCAGCCGGAGGTCCCGCCGCCGGGGCGGGCGGCTGCCGACCCTGAGGTTTGATGTGTCCAAAAATAGTACCTGTGAACATATGCAAAAAAGTACCCAGTGAACATATGTCCAACACATCGTACCTATTCAAATTGTTATGTTATGTTGAAAATGTGGTCAAATTCTTCAGCTTACGCCAGAATATGTACAACAAATATGACCTATTTTAAATAGATCCAAAAAATAGTACTTATTGAACATGTGTCCAAAAAAAGCAGTACCAATTGAAACTATGTCCATAGTCCTTATTTTAGAAAGGTTGTCAAACATGTCAAAAAACAGTACCAATTACATGTTGAGCCATATGGAGCCGTCTTGCGCCGTGGGCCGCAGGTGCAAAGACCCGCGCAGCGCGCATAGCCTGCGCTGTACCATGTCATCGGGTATACTTGACACGCGTTCCCGATGAGTTTCCGAGTTTCCGATGAGTTCTTTCCGCATAGCGCAGGTTTTGCGCATTGCGCGGGCCGTTGCACCTGCAGCCCGCGGCCCAAGACGGCGTCGGCTCAAGATGGCCCAGAGACGGCTCAAGATGGCCCCGAGACGGCGGGTTTGAATAATTGGGGCCGCGGTTCGTTAAATCAGCGGGCGCCGCGTTCAAACTTGCAAAGTTAGTGGGGCGAGAGCGTCATTTTGAACGCGACCCGCCCTCCACCCGTGGAATTGTTGCCCTGAATGCCCCGAACCTCACTGAGGAGGAGGAGGGCGGGGGAGGGGGAAATGACGGAGGAGGAGGAAAGGGGGGGATATGTTGCACGTGTTCGGAGGAGAACGGATGGCGCGGAGGCGCCTCGCGCGATCAAGGTTGAACGCGCCGCGGGGTCCCATCTCGGGCCCCAGTGCTCGCAGGCACGGGGTCGCTGCGCGAAGTCTCCATCTTCGGGATCGAACGCTCCGCGCGGTGTCGGAAACCGCCGTCCGACGATCGGCGTTCTGGATCGAGCATGCTGGACTTCTTTGAGGCTGTCAAGAAGATAAACCAGCCTCCGCGGAGGCAGTTGTCGCGCTTCGCGATGGCGCAGCTCCCGTCGGCGGCGCCGATCGCGAAGGATCTCGAGGCGCAGCCGCCCGCGGCGGCGACCACGGCGGCGGCGTCGGGCGCGGTGAGCGTTGCCAGTTCGGCTGCGCCCACGCCGCAGGCCGCGCCGCCGCGGGCAGCCGCGCCGCCGCAGGCGGCCGCGCCGCCGCCCGCGGCCTCGCCGCCGCCAGAGGCGGCTGCGGCCTCGCCGCCGCCTGCACAGGCGGCGGCCACGCTCCGAAACGGCACGTCGACGCAGGCCATCTCCATTCGTCGCCGTCGTCGTCGTCGC